GGCGGGGCCGAGGCGATGACGACGGGGATGACGGCGGGGCGGTTTGGAGCGGAGCGGCGACACGGGCGACAGGCGCGGGCAGGCGCTGACGACGGCGGCGACCAGGCGGTCGGCCACCACGGCACGCGCGCGCGGAATGCAACGGGAGGCGCGGCGGTTTGAGTGGCGCGGCTCGAGCACGCGCGCTGGCTGCGGGGCCGAGCGGCTGCAGGCGTGGCAGGGCAGCGGGGCCGGGCGGCGCAGACGGCGCAGGCGCGACGCGGGCAACGACCACGCGGGCGCGCGCGCGCGAACGACGCGCGGGGGCCGACTTCGCGGGTGAGGGGCTTTGCCAGGGATGGAGGCGGGGAAGGGGCGCTCGGCGCGGCGGCTCACGCGCACGCGCGCGCGGCGCGCGGGCGGAGCGGAGGGGGAGGGGAAGAGGGAGAGAGAGGGAGAGAGCGCCGGGAGGGAGGGGGAGATGGCCGAGAGAAATTCGGCCCATCGACCCCGGGGGAGGTAAAATAGACTTTTGCGGAGGGATTTGATTTGGAAGGATTTGGATTCGGAATTGAACTCGACGATAGATCGGGGATTTGAGATCTTGAGATGGCACGGACACTAGACAACAAGCAAAGAAACAAATTTCGCAATTAGGGTTTTTAAGAGATAATTTTCCCGCTAGGTGCCACGACGGAACGGGCGCTACACCCATGTTCCTGAGCTAGGACCTAATGCATTTCACCCATCAAATCCCAACTGACTGACGAATAAATCTCAATAGTTTTACTAAAACCCTAGACTGACTCGTTTTGACAAATCTCACTTAAACGAGCGACCAAGATTTTTCCCCTTGAACCACAAGAACAGATCCCAATTTTCCCGTAACAAATCCAATTGCAAAGAACATATGCAATGAAAAGGATTCAGAGGGCTCTTAGGTTTTTCCATTTGGCTTGTCCTACGGTCAAGGTCGGCTCTGATACCAACTTGTCAGGCCCAGAAATTCCCGAATAGAATTCCAAGCAGAATGTGCATTAAAATCCCCGTCCAGGACCGGCCGGGTACACAAACGACAATGTTGACATTCAGATCCACGTCACAGGGCCCGCCCCGCTCCTAAACTATCCAAAATCAAAAGATTACACTAGGGTGAGACTAATCACGGTGAATCTGGTTGACCGCCCATAACCGCGGGCACGGCTATTCGAATAGTTTTACTCTGATCAGAGGTGTACAACTGTACCCACAAGACACAGCCCCACGACACGTTACCGTGCACCGACATGTCACCACGACATACCGGAAAGAGGCCGTGACAGGACCCTTCGCATAACCCCCTCTAACCAAGCATACCACACCTCAGGTTTCACCCCCACTCCTCGCAAGGCAGCGGGCAGTCCCCTCTCGTGCCTAGGTGAATCCGGAAGCGACAGAGGCCGTCACAGGGCCCGCCCCGCTCCATCACGCCCACCCTTGCCTGGATGAGTTGACTAGAGGAAAGCTACACTACAAGCCCAGCCGTTGCCCACGCTGGCTTGTGGTAAGTATGATAAGTTCTTCCAGGGCATCCTGCGAACCGGTCCTTAACTGCCATGGGTGCGACCAGCAAAACCATGCACCCACAGCCCACCATGTGATTTATTTTAATTAACCAACACCAAAGCGGTGGCACTAATCCAACAAGACCATTAGAACCAACAGTCTAAACATTAAAAGGATTCTCCCCATTGTGCACTAGTTGAACTAAGCATGGCTAAGCAATCCCTAGTCCAATCTCTAGTCATGTTATAACCCCAAGCTGACAAAGAAACATGGTACAACAATAGCATGGCTATGACAACAGGTAAACACCCCATAGAAACATTATAAAACAATGCAATATTTGAAAGAAAACAATAGAGCATTTGCAATATAGGATCAACATGTTCAAGTGACAAGCATGACTTGCCTTGCTCTGCTGCTGGAGGAACCTCGGCGACTATGTCGAAATACACCAGAGCGTCGGAGGAACCGGAATCTAGCGACATACAAAGCAAACATTGCAAACAGGCTATAAGACTACTGAAACAGGGAACAAAACCATTTTTAATGGATTCTACACATTTTTCATGATTTACTGAGACTTGAATGGGCTTAAACGGAACTCGGATGAATTAGTTATGAGTTTTAGAAGATTCACTGTGTTTATTACTATAAAAGAAAAACCTTAAATCATTTATTGTGCAATAAATCCCAGGGCTGTCGTCGGCACGGAGGGGGGGGGGGGGCGGCGCCGACATGCGGGGCCCACCGGTCAGCGGCTCGGGAGAGGGAGGAAGGGGCGCCGGCACACGGGGCCCACCGGTCAGCGGCTCAGGGGGGGAGGAAGGGGCGGCGGCGACCCGGCTCGGCTTGGCTCAAGGCCGACCGACCGGCCGCGGCGACGGCGATGGCACGCGCACACGCGAACGCGTTACCGGCGACGGCAACCGGCGGACAGGCTTCGGGGTGCCCTAAGGAAGGAAGAGAGAGAGATTAGAGAGAGGGAGATGAACCACGGCGACCGGTATTCATGGCCGAAAGCGGCGGTAGCGGTTGAACTCACCGGAGCGCGAGGGGATGCGAATTCCGGCGACGAAACTCGACGGGGAAGGGGCGGCCGGGGTGGAGCTTAGCCTCGCGAACCCGACGGCGGCGACGGCGCGGTGCGGCGGCGACCCTAGCGGCGGCTAGCGGCGGCCGGAGTAGTGGAAACGGCGGCGGTGGGTGGTTGCACGGCGCGGGAGCGATGGGGAGCTCGGGAGAGTTCGGCGAAATGGGGAAAAAGCGAGAGGGGGCGACGGGGAAGCCTAAATAGGGGAGGGGAGCCCCGGACGTGGCCGGTAGGGGAGGGATTTCGCCGGCCAACGTGGGGAGTGGGGGAGAAGAGAGAGGCGGGATTCGAAAATCGAATCCCGGCCATCTCGGGCGCGGGCGCGGGCGGGAGAGAGAGGGGAGTGGGCGCGGGAGATGCAGCGCACGCGCGGACGTGGCTGACGTGGCCCGGAGAAGGCGGAGGCGTGGGCGCGGCGGCGGTTGCGGGCGCGGCAGCGCCGGCTGGAGGAAGGTGACGGGTCCGACAGGTGGGGCCCACCTATCGGCGTCCCGGGGAGAGAGGGAGGGGCGGCTTGGCTGGGCCTCGGCCTGCGGCCGGCCCAGCAGGGAGGAGGGAGAGAAAAGGAGAGAATGGGCCAGCGGCCCATTCGAAAAAGGGAGGGAAAAATAAAAAGAAAAAGGAGAAAAGGATTTCCTGGAATTAAAATATTGCTTGCTCAATTTTAATTGGTTAAAATTATTTCTAGGGCTCTGAAAATTCCACTAAAAATCCTGTTAGTGAATTTCGACATGTAGAACTCAAGAAAAATTCCACATGCCAATTCCGATTATTATTTGCATTGATTTAAAAGGGTTTACTCTTACTTTGCACTGGTATTTTCTTAGGGTCGCTTATAAATTAAATTTTTGGCTTGGGAGGAGAACTTCGGGGTGTGACAGGTGGTGAGCATGATGTTCGTTGCCATCAGGAGCCCGATCCAGGTTTGGTCTGACGAGACGTACATGCCCTGGGCTCGGCCCACGGGCTTGGATCTCGAATTGGGCCCCACAGTTAGTAGGTCGTCGAGGACCACAACCATCCCGAACAAGGTATTTGACGTGTTGTCCGGCGGGTTCACCATCGTGACCGCCGATGGGGAAGGGCAGCTGACCTTCTCGTAGAAGTAGAAGTGTAGGTGTGTCGGCTCGGAGCCATGGCCTGAGGGGCTAGGCCCAGGCCCACCATGTGTGTGGCCCTTACAACTGGCTCCCAGCACAAGGAAGATCATAAGCATTAGTGCTAATCTCTTTGCCATTTTTGATCTTAGAGTGGTTGTGCTGAGTGATATAACTCGACCATGAGCTATTTATAGAGGCATGGGGAGCTCTAAGAGCTAGAGGGTTGGACGATGATAGATGGAAGTTTTCTAGTTGACTTGTAACTATTGTAGATCGATCGAGTGATATTTAAATATAAACCTACAATTAGATTGTATATACATGTGGACAGTATTGAGGCACATCGATCCATACAGTGTTGACTATAGGTAAAATACTCCGATACACTTGGTTTGGTTACTTAAGTATAGGAGTAATAGTATGCCGTCTGGCTTTTAATAGTTAACACTATTGACTTTTATACATATATTTGGAGACTCGACCTATTAAAAAAATATAATTAATCTTATTTTGTTACGGTTTATTTTATTGTTATTGTACTTTAGGTATGACTTATACTTTTATATTTTTATATTTGTACAAAATTTTTTAAATAAGACGATTAGGTAGTCAAAAGTAAGTTAAAAAATAAGCGACGTCAAACATTGAAAACAGGGAGTATTTGTTTTCCTCGTCAAATATTACATGGACATGGAAAGCCTCTAAGCAAGTTGCTAATGAGCTGTTAACCACACCCAAAGTTAAATGCACGCTGAGCCACAGAGAGTCTCAGAGAGTATAAAAGAACTTGCATACATCATACATGCATGTATTAGTTAGAACACAAGATTGATGCACAAGATAAAGCTAGCAATTGTCCCAGTACTATTAAGAAAATCATATACTATAAAAGAAATATTTAAGCAATTACAAGAAGGAATTATTTTATTTACCGTGAATTAAAATTTGGAGATTTGACCGCAAGCATTAATTCAGAGTCTTTATCTATTGGCAAGTTGCTAGTGGCTATGGCCACTTATAAATTCCTCATAATATCTATTTTTTCTCAGATTTTGTTTCATTAATGGTTTTTCTTTGCATATATATTTGAACATGAAAAAGAAACAAACACAAGGGTATTACATCAGACACCCTATACTGTCGATCTGTCAAAGACTGAGACCTAAGATTGTAACAGGGTCAACCTGTAAACTCACTTATAGACTAAATCCAGGGTTACTACTTATTTAGCCTATAAGTGGATTCACGAGTTGACCCACTTATAACCTAACTATTGAGATAGAAGCTAGTCTAGTAGTACTTCTGTACCATATATGTGGTTCAATTTGAAACAAAAGTTGTACCAGTCCATAGAAAAGGAACCAAATGTATATCCTACTATACACATCAAACCTTGGAGAATAGCAATTAAATCCAACCTTGCATGAATTCTCCCTTATTACACAAGATATGTGGTAGAATTAAATAAAGCTTCTCTCTTGACACCATCAGTAATTAACTAAGACAAACTTAAGCGTGCATCAAGATCAATGGAAGACATAGACGTTGTACTCCACGATGGCGTCAAGTCCATTTGAGTCAAGAAAGTAGGTGCGGGCTTGGGCATAGCCACGAGCGAAGCGGAAAGCACTGGTGCCACCGACAACCGGCATCTCACGGATACTGTCGGATATGTGGTTGCTGCCGAGCACGGTTATCACGCTGCCATTGTACGGCCCAGCAGTGAGCACGATGTTCATAGCCTGTAGGAAGCCTATCCGGACTTGGTCTGATGAGAGGTACATGCCCTGGGCTCGACCCACGGGCTTGGACCTTGGGTCAGGCCCCTCGGTCAATGGGTCATCCATGACATACACCGTCCCGAAAGAGGTTGGTGATGTTTTGTTCGGTGGGCTGACCACCTGCACAGCGGATGGCGAGGGGCCGGTAATCTTGTCATGGAAGTAGAAGTGTATGTGTGTCGGCGCTGAACTATTGCATAAGGAGCTACACCCATGCCCATACCCGCTTTGCGTGTCGGCCTTAGTAGTGGCGGCCAGCACAAAAAGGAGCACACTCATCACTACTATTTCCTTTGCCATTTTTTGATCTTAGAGTTTGTGTTGAGTGAATAACACTCGCATCCTATTTATAGAGGCATGGGAGCTCTAGGGCTCTATATATGAGTTGGAGGAGGGACACGTGGCGAGCAGCGATTGGAGGAATTATGGCTATCTATTAATTGTTGCTCATGACCAATTGGAAGTACATTTTAGTTGACATGTCCTTGTAGATCGACTGAACCGAAAGACTAGAATAAAAGATTGTAATGCTTACTTAATTTGCATTTAGATTGTGTATGATTAAGTGTGGTTAACATTGAGGCACATATAAGAAATATATGTGTTACTTTCAGTAAAGTACCCCGAATCTCCAAACTAGTTGGTTAATTAATTTTTAGTTCTCCAAACCGAAGGACGATGCCTTGTAGTTTGCTGAAAGCAAGGGCCCAACCACGCCCAAAGTCCACGGTGCAATATCACTTGTGCACAACAATGTGCTCCTAGAGAAAACTAAATTACTCCCTCCGATTTGATAATACTTGTCGTTTTGAACAAGGACACGGTCTCTAAAAAGTAACTTTGACAACTATTTTCTATTATAATATAAATATATGGTTTTATTGAAGTACTTTTTAAGACTAATCTACACATATGGTTTTTATATTTTTAAGATAAATATTTTAGAAATTATTTGTAGTCAAAGATTTTAAAGTTTGACTTTATTCTTGTCCAAAACGACTAATATTATCAACCCGGAGAGAGTAAACGAAGTCCTAGAAAAAAATTTCGAATTGCGTGATGAATTAAGCTTTTAAGCGCCAGCATCGGACGCTAGAACAGAATGTACATTTCTGATTTCTGGAGCATAATATACTCAAGAGCAAGCAAAGGTAAGGAGCTAAGCGCAAAAATATCATACTGTAAAAAAAATGAAGCTCTTGACAATCTTGATGATATTTGCCATAATTAGATACTCCCTCCTATCACTTTAATTTGATGCGGGGAAAGCTAAGCTTAACTCTCCCAACATGAAGTAAAAATGACTAGAGGGAGTAATAACAAATTAAGATACACATGCATTAAAACATACCATCGACAGTGAGACATATGTCATATGACTTTATCGATTTTAAGATATACTAACCCAGTCTTTAAATGTGCTTACAGAGATAGAATATGTGCATGTGCATTTATTGAAATGAGAGTATGTGCGTGTTATAAGCACCTACATATATATTGTGTTAAAAGAAAAAAGAAATGGCACATTTGAGGAGTCTTGAAGGATCTCCAATGCCTCTCAATCGATCTCTTTGCCAGCATTTCTGAAGCAGCTCAGCCAGCTTGGAGTGGATATCTTTCAGCAACTCAACCAATTTGTTCTAATTCATCTTGTTTTCATGAGAAAGATGGACTAACTAACTTGCACCTCTAAACAGGAAAACAAATAATTAAGTTGCACACGAAGGAAGGGAACCAAATATATAAAAGATGATTCGGTGAAAGAGGAAGGATGGCATCAATTTTCGAAGACACTGAAACAAATTGTATCAATTCCCTCTTCAAATAATTGTTTTCTAAAAACACATTAGGCGCTCACATACACACACTTAGCCTTATAAAGGCACATACACACTCTATCCCTTGAAGGACCTCTGAGAGATTTGACTGGTATATCTTGAGGTTGATGAAGTCGTCGTAGACGCATCGCTGTCATCGTCTATCATTCAAATCTAGAACTTGAAAAAAAACCAAACCCTCCTCTACTCTGATGACCCAATGAATGTTGCTGGTTGTTTTTATATCTGAAAGAATTAATTAAGGGGATCCTTTGCTTGTGAATGCTCTGTTTTTTTAAAGAATTCTGAATGCTCTATTAATGTTTTCTTTTGGAGAATCGATGGGGATATGGTATAACGAACGCCAATCATCCGATTTCACAAAACACACGATACGATCTGAATAGTGAATACTGGATGCTCGTGAATATTTCAAATATTGGAGCTGAAGCTGAGCTAAGAAATACTCCTACACGATAGTTAAGCATATCAATTAACCCTATTTAATACGGCAAACTCGTAATCACATGGATCCAATTAACCCTTTTAAAAAATATTTGTTAGACTTAATTCGATAGATTTTTTAGAGGAATCTTTGCAGATTCTCTGCTGTCCCATTCGCCACAAGATTCATGCCGGGGTCTTCTCCTCTTACTCAAGAAATTAGCGACAGCCCAACCGATTTAGGTTTAGGGTTCGAAGTTGGGGTGGAAGGGGACGGGGGGGGGGGGGGACGGGGGACGGGGGAAGTTCACAGGGCTTAGCGAGACGGCCGTGGGTGGCAGAACATGTGGGTGGAGCTAAAGCCACGGGATCGTTAGCAGGTGGTTGGCCAACATTGGTAGCGGGGGTGTGGGTTCCTGACCAGTTAGGAGGTGTGGAAAACAATGGGGTGGGGCACCTTACCACCGCATGATGGGAAGGAGAGGGAGAGAGGGGGAGATGGGGTGCATGATGGCTGACATGGCCTCACTGGCACCATTGGCGCCTTCTGATGAGGGCAAGGCCGGGGAAGGCGCAATCGGCGAGGGAGGCAACATTATCGTCGAGATTAGGCGCGATTTGAAGCATTGTGTAAAGGAGAACGACAGAGAAGATGATAAAGTAGAAGAACTGTAATAGTACGAATCTTAAAGCAATCCAGGGCATCCAAAAGTGACTGAAATGAGGAAGCATTTTCTTGTGAATGTTACATAGTCAGTCCCTTTGCCTCAAGATCTTGCATGTCGATTAAAGTTGGGAATTTTTTTCTTCTACCACTTATTGAAACCGTATTTTTCGTCCCGCCATCAAAATTTTGCATTTCTCTCTTTTACCACTACTCCATTAGTGCCCCATCCTCTTTTGCCATTCTGGTGGTCAATGTCAGTTGACCATCATATTGTCCACAAAAACCAATATATGCCCCTGTGTAGCTAAAAGTTACTATAAGAGAACCAATGAAAATGTGATTTATCTTTTAATTTTCAGAAGTTGTATAAAACAATTGTAGGAAAAATATTTATGCTGTAAAAAAATTGTTGGAAAAAAATTCAATTCGTTTGGAAGGTTTATATAACTTTGTAATATATTTAGAGAAAAATCATTTTTCACAGCCACATATAAATACCTTATAGCTTCCAATATTTCAAAATTCCTAGTATAGACTATTGTTGGGAAAAATATTTTTCCGATGGCTGAAGAGAGAGAATACAGCAGTCGAGTCCCCTCCGATTTGCTGAGTGGCGGAGAGCTGCCCCAGGAGTTGTGATTGTGAACGAGAGCGACAAAAGATTTTACCCCTCCATGCCGTTATTTGTTAAAACGATTTTTCCGTTGATAATTTCTGCTACCGTTAACGACTTAATGGAGGTGTTAGTATAATAAAAGTATCTAACCTTTTCATATAGAAAATAAATTAACGGTTTGGATGAAGTTTTACTATCGATAGAGAGCACCATAAAGAAAATAAGTTTCGCCAAATAATCTTATAAATCCCTTTTTCTAAGTATATTGCACATGTTCCTTATTTAGAAAAAATATATAAAATTATAACTTAAGAAATCAAGATCAAATATTGTAGTTTAATGGGTTTCCTTGGAAACAATTTACTGTGAGCTAACTTAAGAACATGTACAATAGCAGGCTATAAGCCAGTTACAAACATATTTTAAAGAGATATAAAAGCGAAGAAAGAAGAGCAGCGGACTACAGATTTGTAGCCAGCTGCAGCGCGGACTCCAAGACATAATGTGTGTATGACAGGTGAGACTAAGTATTAATAGTATAGTAAGCAACAATTGTATAAATTGGCTATAGATAATTTGAAGCTAGTATTTGGCTATACTATTAGCCTTGCTCTAAGAATATAAGAAGAGATGCCACAGTTGCTTCGCTTGCTTACTACAATCGATTTTGCTATATCTCACTCGAAAGATTTTTTCTTATCTCTCACTCGAAAGATTTTTTCTTATCTCTCACTCGATTTTCTCACTCAAATTTACAGTGTGTTTTCTTGTAAGTTACAATGTAATTTATGAAATTTACACTGTAACTTTTGTAATTTACAGTGTAATTTTTGAATCTTCGCATATAAGTTTTGAAATTTATATTGGATTTGGTCTTTTTTTTCTGAAGATATGGAAATATAGTGTCCATTATGGTGTTTCTTAGTTGTTTTTTGCATTTTACTGTGTCTATTGGATTTTAATCCAAGGATTAAAAATCTGTGTGATATGATTATAAAAATCTTTCGAAAGATGCATAGGTACTCCCTACTACAATTGCTGCAGCTTGGGGCCGGCATGGCTAACCCACATCAGATGCCACACATTTTGGGCTACGCATGCGGCCCAATCAAATATATTCCACTTTGGCATAAGTTCACATTGGCTTCCTCAAATATATATAGTTTTAATCTAATTCTTATCTCTCAATCGCTCCTCTAATTATTAAAATCGATGCAAAATGACCCCCTTGATGGTTTTGAGAGCGGTTTTTTTGCTAATGTAGCTCATTGACTTAGTTTGACCGGCTGATTCAGTGTGAGACCCATATGTCAGTGCATCCTCCTCTTCTTTCTATTTTTCTCTCTCTCCTCCCTCCTCTTCTCTTCTTGGTCTTCTTGGAGGCAGGGGACGATATTGTACATGCATGGGTGGCAGCCGAGCTTAGCGCCTACGGCGAGGCCGTGTGGGTCCTCGACGCCAAGCAAGAGGTGTTGAGCCTGTTGGCACCGGTGACACCATGTGCGTGGTGCGATGTCATCGGAAGTGAGGAGCCAAGGAGCTCAATCACCCGCTCCACGGTGGTGAAGGGAGGCGAGGAGCCAAGGCGCATGGGCGGTGCCCGAGCTCTGCGTCTATGGCGAGGCCGCACGGGTCGTTCTCGACGCCAAACAAGAGGTGTTGAGCTGGTCGGCGCTAGCCACGCCATATGTGCGGCGTGATGTCATCGGTAACTAATATAAATGAATTAATTACTAATGATATCAATTTTTTTTTCAGAACAGATATCAATTAGAGTAGTTAATTGATG